TTTTGTAATGTTTTCAGGGGTAAAATCAAGCCTATTGAAATTCGGATAGACCACTCTTTGGAACTGCGACTACTATTGGACCACAGAATTAAAGAAAAATATGAACCTGACTGAAGGAGGATTGGCTAGTAAATACTATCAACCATAAAAGGTAGGTAAGATTACTTCCGGTAATAAAAAAAAATGAAAAAAATTATTCAAGAATACCCTCTTCAGACATTATTTACACCAATACTAGATAAATGCCAGATTGACTTAGTTACCTTATCTACTTATACTCAATATATAGATTGCTTTCACGTGTGTGTATGTTTGTGTGTGCGTTTGTTTAGACCAGTTATATTTTATTTGAATATTGTATGTAACCCTTTAATATTTATGCCTCCTTGCCCGCTTGTCTTTTATACCCTAACCTTAAATGACGTCGACGCTAAGTACTTTTCTGAACGAGCTCGTGACTAGTAGTTTTTCAACAAGTAATATTCCGGCAAGTAATTTACCAGCTAGTGATTTCCCGGCTAGTAATTTTCCGATTGATCTCGTGATAATCGTGTGATCAATACTTAACTATTTTGTGTCAAATTGGACCCTGCTCACAGTTCTTCCCTGCCGATTACCTATGTTAAAGGTGAATGCGTGACTAGTAATAAGTGCCCCTCTTAGCAAACTAACATAAATCATTGCGTGACTAGGTGACAAACATTTTTATTTGCAGGCAAATAAATTCCTTAATGCCTCCTTGCCCGCTTGTCTTTTATACCCTTATTATAAAGAGAACTTTGGCTAAATTCTGGGGTCATCAGTCGAGCTATATTTGCAAGAGCGCTTAAAGTAATAAGGGACAACGATGTGTTTGGGTATAATTTTGGCCACGCAAGATGGCCGATTTATTGATTAAATATAACGTCTTCAAACAAATTTAATTAGCTATGATTATTTGATTTTTAACGCTCTGGCAAAGGTGAAGGCGGAGAAAAAAGGCCACAAGCCTCCTGTAGGGAGGCTCGCCCCACCCGAAGACGGGTGACCCAGAAAAAGCCGAAGAGTAAACAGTTCCTCAGCACCTGCTTGAGGACAGATTACTCATGAACTAGCTGCACGTGTAGATAAACTAGGTGTACGAATATAGCTTAAAAATGCATTGGACTTCCATCGTCCTAACTGGCGAATTTGTGCGTCAGAAAGACCTTTAGCAGCAGCCCAAGTGGCTGCACCTATGCGAAAACTGTGTGCTTTGTACAAGGCAGGGTCAAGATTACAAAATCTAAGAGCCCTATTAAGTTGTTCCACAAAAATTGATCTTTTTATTGGCGCCCCGCCCGGCCAGCAAAACAGGGGGCCACTGGTGGCCCCTCTAACAGAAATAAACGCTAAGACAGCTTTGACCGGGCAACAAGATTCTTCTTGAAAGATGTCAATAACAAATGGGCGCCCATTAGTACTGTGCTTATATTTATAAATTGTCAGTTGAAGAGCTATGACCTGCCCTTGGGTCGTCATTAAACGTGAAAGTTGATTAAGCCTAATCAGATTACTCTGATCACTTCCGTTAAGTGTTATCTCGCCGATACGTAAAAATGCAAAAAAGGCTATATAGCACATAGCTGAAAACATCTAAAACTGGTAGGCTGACTCTGTAGTGTGCTGAAATGAGGCAACAAGCTGCCGCAAGATTGGTAGTGTAATAGGAAGACGTACATCACGTACCGGTGCTAACTTGCGATAACCTTTAAGAATTTGACGAATGATCGCAGTTTCCGTTGGATCATTCACACCTACTTATGGGCATAGCCGATAGCAGATAAATAACTAGTCACAGTGGAGGAAGCATAATTATGCGAGTAAAGATGTGAAACAAATAGTACTATAATCGCGAGCTGTAAAGGTAAGCATAAGACTTCGTTACCTAAAAAGGACTGAGCCCATCTCGTGAATAAGCTCCATGAGCGCTTGTAAGCGTCTTTGGAACACTTAGTGAGACTAGCGGACAGAAGTGTTTGTGCTACAGAGGCCAGCTCTCCGGTAGAAGATGTGGTGGAACTAAGGTTTGTTCGTGGTCCATGCCCTGTCCCAGGGACTTGAATTTCGTGACCTGTAAGCGCGATAAAGCGTCAGCCTTGACATTGAGCACCCCAGGCACGTGGACCGCCCGAAATAAAATATTATGTTACATTGTAAAACTAGTTCACGCAAGAGGACGATTAGCTTGTTACCTTTCGTAGTTTTCTTGTTAATAACGTCAACTAGACCTAGATTATCCGTGTGAAAAAGGACACATTTGTTGGCCAGTTCTGAAACCCATATTGAAAGACTTATAACGATGGGAAACATCTCTAGCACTATAATGTTACGACCTAGCCAGTTTGAAGGCCATTGACCATAAAGCCAATGTGAGCCGAAAACTGCGCCGTAACGTAAAGAACCTGCTGCATCAGTGTAAAGATGTAGTTTGGCTGACGAGAGCCAATTATAGTCTAAAAAGAAAGACTTGCCATTGTATGATTCTAAAAAGGTAAGCCATAATTTAAGGTCAGCTTTTGTTTCCCGATTTAGACGAATAAAATATCGAGGGCGTTTGACCCCTACTGTCAAGTTAATTAAACGGCGTAAAAAAGTTCGACCGGGCACTATGACAGAACAAGTAAAATTGAGAAGACCAATTAAGGATTGCAGTTCTCTTAAAGTTATCTTTTTCCGACGAAGGAAGTGTTGAATAGAGTCACGACATTTAGTAAGTTTGTCGCTAGGGAGCCGTGCTTCCATGTTCTGCGTATCAAGCTCAATACCCGCAAATGACAACACGAAGCTAGGCCTACTGTTTTCTCGGGAGCCATTGGAACGCCCAATTCATCACACGTTTTGAGAAAAACTTGCAGATCATTAGCGCACGATGCAAGCGATTTGCTGACGATCAGGTGACAGCGCGATGCTGTTAGTGAGTTCTTCACTTCTTGTGTGCCTATCATTACTTGGCTGTGTAGCCGCGTGATGCGGTTCCAGTCGAGACCCACAAATTGGCCCTTGCTCACCATAGAGTCTCCAGTAGCTCAAGTGGTTAGAGCATCCGACTAGATCACGGAGGGTCGTGGGTTCAAATCCCATCTGGGACTCGGATTTTTTTTCCGAGTCCTCCTCAAATTAATATCATGTTGTTGTTGTTTCATCTTTAATATAGATCAGAAAGTCATCTAACAAATGTAATATACCGGGTATATGTAACCTAAAGCGAGCAATCCATTCCAGAGCGGAACTGAAACACTCAAATATTTTGCAAGAACTGTAAAGCCCCATAGCAAGATATATATCAACGTAGAATCGATCACGCCAGCAAATCCCCAGCAAATTGTAATCAGAGGGGCTGACCGGAGTCAGCCGAAAAGCATTTTTGATATCGGTCTTTGCTGGCGTACAGCCCCTGCCTGTGCGTCGAATTAGCCTGATGGCATCGTCAATATTAGCGTAGTGGACGCTGGAAGAAATTTGCGGGATATGGGAATTAATTGACTTCCCCTCTGGAAAGGACAAGTGATGAATTAGGCGAAATTCCCCCAGCACCTTTTTAGGAATCAAGCCTAAAGGAGAAACATGGAAGACTGGAAAGGGCTGTCCATCGAAAGGACCAACTATTCTTCCTAACTGAATTTCTTTAGCTAATTTTTCGTCTACCGCCTTAGGATTAGTAGTGGCTGACAAAAGATTTTTGGATACAAAATTACGGCGATAACCAACATAATCAATAGAAAAACCAAAACGGAAAGCGTCGATGAGGTATTGCCGAGATCGAGGAGGGTAGCCCTCCAGATAGGCCTGTAATTTATTTTTTTTGATTGGCGTTGCCAATGGACGAGACAGTGCGGTAGGTAGGGGCTGAGTTACTTGCGGTGACTGCTGTGGATTTCGGTCGCGGTACAGCTTTGGTGGAGTTTGCTTGCTTGGGAAAGTGGCATGGGTTGGCTGGATGATGAGATCCACATCGACAGCATTCGTGTTTAAAGTTTCAGCCGGAACACTTTTCCCCTCTGTGAAATCTCCAGCAAAAGCCGGACGGAAAGGGCGACCTTGTAGGCCTGTTGCGTGAGTCCGAGGAAACTACCGTAGGGGACTTTTGCATGTGGTGCGCCTGCAACCACAGTTCCCAATGGATCTGGTCCCAGGGGAAAAGAGTTTTTTGCCTCAAAAAGCGAAAGTTTTCNATTGACTTCCCCTCTGGAAAGGACAAGTGATGAATTAGGCGAAATTCCCCCAGCACCTTTTTAGGAATCAAGCCTAAAGGAGAAACATGGAAGACTGGAAAGGGCTGTCCATCGAAAGGACCAACTATTCTTCCTAACTGAATTTCTTTAGCTAATTTTTCGTCTACCGCCTTAGGATTAGTAGTGGCTGACAAAAGATTTTTGGATACAAAATTACGGCGATAACCAACATAATCAATAGAAAAACCAAAACGGAAAGCGTCGATGAGGTATTGCCGAGATCGAGGAGGGTAGCCCTCCAGATAGGCCTGTAATTTATTTTTTTTGATTGGCGTTGCCAATGGACGAGACAGTGCGGTAGGTAGGGGCTGAGTTACTTGCGGTGACTGCTGTGGATTTCGGTCGCGGTACAGCTTTGGTGGAGTTTGCTTGCTTGGGAAAGTGGCATGGGTTGGCTGGATGATGAGATCCACATCGACAGCATTCGTGTTTAAAGTTTCAGCCGGAACACTTTTCCCCTCTGTGAAATCTCCAGCAAAAGCCGGACGGAAAGGGCGACCTTGTAGGCCTGTTGCGTGAGTCCGAGGAAACTACCGTAGGGGACTTTTGCATGTGGTGCGCCTGCAACCACAGTTCCCAATGGATCTGGTCCCAGGGGAAAAGAGTTTTTTGCCTCAAAAAGCGAAAGTTTTCATCATAATAACGCCAATGTGCGTTCTTAGCCCCTAGGTCCCGCACTGTCTCGGAATATTTCATTAAAGCTGGGGCGTCGGTCGGTGATCGGACCGTATAAATAGCTACAAATGTTTGAAAGGCCGATATCCATTGGTCTATAGTGGCAATTCTCTTAGGTTTCTGTGCTGGCTCGAGGCTAATGACCGGCCGATCTGAAGAGTGTTGCGTTTGAACAACAAAATTGTACTGTGACTGGTTTGGGGATGCTATTTGCAATAGGGTTGCTAAATCAATATACTCGTTTGCCCAAATTTTTGATTGAATTTTATCAGACACCCTGGAGGCGAGAGGTACAGCGATTTGTTGATGAATCAGCTGGGGCCGGTCATTAGACTGAGCTATGCTATTTATTGATAGCGGGCTGGTACATATGGTCGAAGGGTTCGTAGGAGGAGGTCTCTCACCGGTAATGTCCTGGATTACGGCCGCTACTGACCCCTGTACAGCAGCAGCCGGAGTGGTGTTCGAACCATTTGGCTCCTTCTGAGCTTGAGGAAGTATGCCGGCTGCTTGAAGTCCTCCTAGCACGGCTTCAGAGACTATGTCAGCGATGTCCACCGGGGCAGGGGCTGCGTCGTTGCCGGCAATTGGAACAGTGACCAATTGGGAGGGATGTTCCGAGGCGGGTGCACGGCTGTCCGTATTAGGAACTGTGGCCCGGGTAGCTGATTTTGACTTCTTTGCTTTGTGAGATTCTCGCGTCGCCGGGGCAGCACGCGTCTGAGGGCGTGGTGCAGGAGGTACGGTAGGGGCAGCACGAGATTGCCGACGAGTCATCATATTGACTGGAAAACAAAAACAGCTTATGTGTAGCAAGGAAAGTAACCCATAGATGCGAACCACAAAAATTGCAGGTATGTGCGCGTTGGCTAAAGAAACCGCTTATGCCCAGCAGGTCCATACCCCACTTTTGATCACGTAACAAAACGGAAAAAAAACGAAAAATAAATAAAATTAAATCGGAAAATAATAATAGAAAGAACGGTTCCAGCGAACCGTAATATATAAGAAAAACGGCAACATGTTTGGCAAGCCCAAATAAAGATAGCTGCCGCAAGGAACATGCTTAGGTGCCGCAAAGCTTGAGAACTCATAGAGTTCTCAGTAAACATATACAAACAGTCTATTTAGACATGTAAGACAAAAGAAAGTGGGTGTAAAAAAGGACCTAATTTAATCTGGGAGCGCGACCCGCCGCGGGGGGCGGGGGGCAACTGAGCTTAATAGCGGATAGAATGGCGCCCCTGTAACTCCGATAGAGAGCATATTGCCCTTTGGCCGTAAGGTGTACCCCGTCTCTGCATAAAATGCGAACGGTGGGTTGTCGAAGTCCTTTGTGACGCCAGAAAACAGCGAAAGGTAGGGTCTCCGGCACCACGCTGAGATATTGGTTGAGAAGGGCCACACGATCGTTGAAGGACAAAGGAGTGGCCCATAATGAGAACATGGGGTTTAGGAGACATGACTAACTTAAAAAACAAGAAAGATATACTCAACTCTGGAAGTGAAGGATGGAGGTGTGCGGCTGTCAAATTCGCAAAGCTTGTTACGTCTGGAGACCAAGAGGAAGACTTCGGGGAACACAGCTTGTCTTATACCCTAACCTTAAATGACGTCGAGGCTAAGTACTTTTCTGAACGAGCTCGTGACTAGTAGTTTTACAGCGAGTAATATTCCTGCAAGTAATTTACCAGCTAGTGATTTCCCGGCTAGTAATTTTCCGATTGATCTCGTGATAATCGTGTGATCAATACTTAACTATTTTGTGTCAAATTGGACCCTGCTCACAGTTCTTCCCTGCCGATTACCTATGTTAAAGGTGAATGCGTGACTAGTAATAAGTGCCCCTCTTAGCAAACTAACATAAATCATTGCGTGACTAGGTGACATAAACATTTTTATTTGCAGGCAAATAAATTCCTTTTATCTATTAGCATTTAATTTTTATTTATTTGTTTATTTATTTATGTTTCTTCGTTGTAACAACTTAATTAGGAGTCTTTTATATTTTGCTGTCTAGTAGGGTATGTATTACTTTTACTGTTTTTGCCTTTTTCTCTTTAGTTATTTCTTAATTAATTATTTGTTTAACCTATAGCCTGACAAAACAGCCGACATTTGTCATTTCGCCAAATGACGTCTGAGAAACGAGCGCAGAAATTGCACACTGAAGACGCGTCACTACCTAGGTCTGGGTAGTGCTACTGATTGGTCGTGTCGCATGGGAAATTTGATTCAGCCAATCAGAAGCACTCCTAAGATCTGGGTAGTGACGCGTCATCAGTATGGAATTTCTGCGCTCGTTTTTCAGACGTCATTTGGCGGGGAAGCCAGTGGTAGCGTCGCCAAATGTCGGCTTTTTCTCTGGCTAGTTTAACCTAAAGAGAGAAATAAATTGACGATTACTTTTTATCCTCTATGATACTAATGGACATAACTTTCTGTGAAGAATTTTTCCCTAAAAGTACGCTTACGGAATCTTTTAGGAAAAAATTGATCAGAAACGATAGTCGATGGAAAGTTAACTTGTCTCAAATGCCTTGCTCAGGCAATTTCACTGTTCCATTGTTTATGGCGCAATCGCTTTCTCCGGACCGCCATTTCTTCTATTAGGTATACATCAGTTTTATTTGAGTAGTTGATACTTAGATAAATTCAAGAGAAATAGTAATATAAGTTTGGAGATGTCTCTGTCTCTGTCTTCTTGAAGGTGACTCTAGGCCTTTCCAAAACTTTTAACTTAAGTTCAACTTCAAGGCTTCAACGTCGTTCTTTTGAAGTCTATTTAAAAACTCACTTTAACTTAGTCTAGGGGATATATTACACTCTATCATGACTAAAGGCTTGGTAACCAATGGAAGCATTGACCGTTAATACCGTTAACGAAAGAGAAATAGGCTTCGCAGGCGCTTGGACCGGGCGTTACCGCAGCGTTCCCCAGAGACTTACAAATTCGAGGGTTCCACACAAAAAGACTGCGGAAAATGCTTTTAAAAGATGGGGTTTCGGTGAGCGGATTCACTGGTTTCGTTTAGCTGGAAGGCTAATTCGTATAACAAATATGTAGCTTTGAAAGTATCCAAATTCATGTGGACGGGGCCTAAAGCGAGGCCTGTTCCTGACATGAGAAGAAGGCTATATCTACAGTTATACCGGCTAGCGTTTCGTGCCGACACGAAATGCCATCCTGGAGAGTGTGAAAAGCAAAGGCACTGGACTGGAACAAGTCGTTCACACACATCGAAGACCTTATCGAACGTTGTGTCGAAGAGATTGCTATTTGATATCTTCGAAAAAGAAGTTGACTATTTTCAAATCCCCGTGATCATTAAAAAATTCGGTTTTTTACTTTTCCTTCTCTGTTTTATTCATCTTAAAGGGTGACTCCTTATCTTAGTACTTACATGTACCGAGCCGCGCCAGACTCCAACACTTTTGACATCACTCTCTTGTTCCTTCTTCTGACCAACATTTAAACCCTGTTCCCTTTCACCAAAGGATAGTACATTTGAAGCCTGTTCCCTTCCCCTTAAGGGTGGCACACTAAACAAACCCTTAGTGACACCTCATGAGTCGAGCCTTGCTCGTGTTAAGTATTTCGGTAACGTGTTGTATGATCATGTGACCAGTACTGGTGTTGATACTCATTCCTCCTCTCTGTAGCGGAAACTTAGTGCTACTCTTGTGGCTCTTGGTTTGCATCAGTCAGAAAATGACAGACTGAAGGCAGAGCGAGGTGGAGAGGAAGGTTGAATGTGCGAATGGGCTGACAGTGATGAGGTCATCAAAAATAACAGTTAACAGACATATTTCAAGCTCAGAAAGAAAGGAAACAGACTCTCCTGGAGACAAAGGACACATAACAGGAAAGCAAGACTAAGCTGGAAGGTATACATCAAGTTGTTACAGAAGTTCGTCAGTCCCAACTCAAGTCAAACAGCGTGGACGAAATCTTGAAGAAGCTTGCCAAGGTAGACACGCAAAATAGCATACAGTATTACTCAGAAAGATATTTAGAAGGAGCTCGTGCGTCGATTTTAGCCAGAGTGAGTAATTGGCTGATGACAGAAGCTCACCCAATCGTGTGGTACTAATCATTTGACTTTCAGGGATGGGAAAATTGATTGATTGCTAAAGAGATGTGCAAAAGAATGCAGGATAGTGAAAGGTTTTCAGGGAGCCATTTTACGTCAACGTGACAAGGCAGGTCACAGGAACCCCGAGGTGATGCTGCAGTCACGGCATCCCACGTGTCATATTATCGCCCAGAATACAGAAAATCTCTCGTGGAACAACTTTCTAGAAATTTCGGCTTGGAAATGAATGACATGGAAGTGGGAGATCTGTTCGAATTGCTTTTCGAAGAACCGCTGCGTAATGTACGTGACCCTTGTGTAGCGTCTCTCATTGTACTCGATGCCTTAGATGAAAGTGGATACTGAGGACGAAACGAGTTGCTGAAAGTGATCAGCGAGTACTGTAACAAGTTTCCACTCGTGAAAACACGACCAGAAATGAACATTTGGGAATCCAAAAGTGAAGAAAACTTACTGGATATTCGCATTTTCATAAAGCATCATCTAAGCCATTTGTTGCCAGCCAGAAATCAGGAATTGATCTTGGAAAAGCCAGTTGGAACGTTGGAAGGTGTCATACTATGCGCTCACGTTCCGACAGATTTCGTGAAGGAGAGCGTGCCTACTCTCACGTTGGAAGACCTTGAAAGCGCTGTATCGTCAGGTATTTCATATGTTTATTTGTCCTATTTCAAGCGTCTGAAGACTGATCTAAATGAAATCCACTGAAGATTATTTTTTGTTTGTTTCCTCAAACGCAATAACAGCCCGCAATAGAACCACTGCCTATGGAATTTGTCTCTAAACTGTTATTCCTTGGCATAGTACCGTGACTATCATCTGCTCAGCAAAAGACGAAGAAGGTAGTTTCTTGTATATTGTCACTTTTACCCATTCAAGATGGATTTGTGCACTTTTTTCACAAGTCGGTGAAGGAGTGCCTGGTTGACAAGTCATCCTACGGACATCATAATTTCAGTGTGAGCAAGAACGAAGGCTATCGCATCCTTGCTGAACTTTCATGGGAGAGTTCAATGAAGTAAAAAGAAAAGGTGTGGATCACTCAGAGCCCTTCAGTGACACCGCTAGGTCCGCTCTTCAACATGGTGTTAAACACATGTTAGAGTTAGATGAGAGGACAAGATCATGCAGTCTTGAGAATCTGGTGAACATGTATGCAAACCTGTGCGTAAACAGTGCCATACCCACTAAAGATACATATGTACTTTGTGCTGTAGACCAAGATGAATTGAACGGGTTGAAATACCTTGGAATGTTATTATTTCTGTTGCGAGATAATAGAAAATGATGTGTCCTTGTCTTTTTTCGTTCTGTTGTTTTTCTTTCAAATAAAGATGCCATCTTACTAGGATTCCTTTGCTATGCATACAAAATGAGCCAACAAATTTGACTGCCTCGTTAACGAAATGCTTTACATCA